GACGACGTGGATGTCGGTGCCCTCGCGGTGAAACACCGCGTCCTCCTCGACGGTCACCTCGACGTAGAGGTTCCCGGGCGGCCCGTTGCGCACGCCGACCTCGCCCTTCCCGCTCACGCGCAGCCGCTCCTTGTTGTCGATACCCTTCGGCACCGGCAGCGTCTGCAGGCTGCGGTCCTTCACGATCCCCTTCCCGCCACACGGGGTGCAGGTCGTCCGGCCCATCTCCCCGGTCCCCCCACAGTGCGTGCAGTCCTGCTGCATGTGGAAGAAGCCGGTAGACATCACCTTCTTCCCCCGCCCCCCGCAGTGCGGGCACTTGCTCCGCGAGGCCGTCTCCTGGAAGCCGCTCCCCGCACACACCCCGCACCGCCGCATCGTGTTGTACGAGATCTCCTTCTGGCACCCGTTAACCGCCTCCAGGAAGGTGAGCTTGAGCTTGTAGTGGATGTCCGCGCCGGGCTCCGGCCCCTGCGGCTTCCGCGTCTTATCCTTCCCGCTACCACTCATTTTTTGGAAAATCTCCTCGAAGTCGTTAAAGGAGAACCCCCCGGATCCGTTGGTGGCGTTCGCGAATGGGTTGCCCGCGGCGCCGAAGGGATTTCCTGCCCCCCCAAAGGGATTAAAGCCAGCCCCGCCGCCGAAATTGCCTGCGGCGTTTGCGTTCCCCGTCATATCGTACATGCTTCGCTTCTGTGGATCGGAGAGCGTCTCATAGGCCTGCTTTGCTGCCGCGAAGTCCTCCGCGGCGCGCGGGTTGGGGTTGACGTCGGGGTGCAGAACCTTGGCTTTCTTCTTGTAGGCCGCCTTAATTTGCTCCTGCGTCGCGTTGCGCGGGATGCCAAGGATGGCGTAGAGATCCTTCTTCGTCGCGCCACTCCCCTCCGTCGTGTGATAGCGGCGGGCGTTCGTCAGAGGAGAAGGCATCTCTTTCGGGTTAATACCGCCCCCAAACGGAATGTTTGAGTACGGCAGAATTAAACCGCCCTCCGCGAGACGTGGGCAACTAGAGACCGGAGCCACACGGCGGAAGGCAGGAAATAGCGCAGAAGACGCTGCCGTGGCCTTAATCCACGCGAGTCGGCCGGTTGACTTCATGCTCCCCAGCGCAACTCTGCTCTATGGTTAGAAACAAGTGGCACGATAAGTGGGAGTGAGTATATAGACGAGAACTCTCCCTGAAGCTACTTTATTTTTCCCACGTTTCCCAGTTGGTAATAATCTGAATAACGTCTCAGGAAGGACTCCGTATCAGATGCAACAGACGTAATAGGTCTATGCAATTAATTGTTTTTAACCTGTAAGCAGTGTAATCTTCAGAAACAATTCCTGCAAATACGTTTTATTTTAAAATCACAATATGAAAATTAAAAAATCCTCCCCTCTGAATGCAAAGGAAAAGAGGAATAAGCGCGCGCAAGCAAAAATAGGAGATTATGCACCACACCTTAAAACTAGGCAATGTATCTAGATCACGAAATGCGCAAATGATATCTACTAGTATCAAGGTAGGTTCTTATTCTCGTTTTTACAGTGCGCAATAAAAGGAAAAGTAACCTACAGATTCGCTTTACCTTAATCCGTTGTTTGTCCAACAGAGTGAAGCAAATGAGCCTCGAAGAGACGCATAAAGGAAGAAATGGAAAAGAAAAAAGAGATAATTAAAAAATAAAACAAAATGGCATCTGCTGGTTGCAGCGGATGGTTGGCTGTGCCCGGTTCATGAGTAAGTGCGATTAGTTCTTTTATACTCTTTAGTGTCCACACATGCATCGCAGTTCGGTGACTTAAGTTCATCACCTTCCTTTTCATTTCAAATCTTTCTCATCCATTCGGGCCCTTCTGCGGAAATTCCCGGCAAGGGGGAGATCTAAAGGAAAGCGGTGTACAATAAGCACCTCGCCCTTTGGGGTCCACACTAAGTTAAAAATTAAAAACAAATAGTCCCTAAGAGGTGTTTGGTGCCATCGTTT